GTCTATGTTCGTTCCCCCCTACCGATCCGACCAGGGTACCTACCTTAACCTGATTCCAATTTTGGATATCCGCTTCCTATGACCAACGCGTGTAAATGACTAATGTAACTAAATCAACGATGTCGACTAATTAGTTACTCTAATTTCCCCCCTTTTTACAATTTACAACCGCCAACCTCTAACCTAACCAGTCCCCCTTCTAACCTCCCCCCTTTTTAGCACACCTTCTTAAGCCTAAAATTACCTTAAGCGCCGGGTGCTAAACCTCTCAAGAGAAAACCGTAGACCTGTCTCCAGGCCTGCTTAAGTAAAAACGTTCCTCAAAACCGGGGGATTTCGCTTATCCAATTTTACACTTATCTCCTATAATGTAATGTGGATTTTAACGATACCCGTTCTGCCCAACTTGAGAACTCGAGAACTGCCAAATCCTTCTTGGCTACTTTCCCACTCGACTGGTCACCTCTTCCAGTCCAGTCTCCTATTGGTTCAGCTCAAGTGTTCCTGAACCACTTTCCCACTCGGCTGGTCACCTCTTCCAGTCGAGTCTCCTATTGGTTCAGCTCAAGTGCTCCTGAACCACTTTCCCACTCGGCTGGTCACCTCTTCCAGTCAAGTCTCCTTGTTGCCCAGCTAAGTTCCAAGCTATCTGAAAACCCTTGACAACGCCCCACACTCGGGCACTTTATTAAGGTTACTATGTTAAATTGCTAGGTTGATCGAAACGATCGAACTTTTAAAACAGTATTGGTATACTATTTAATTAATATAAAGGTTTGATCCAACTAATCTGGTGTCAAATCCACTGTCTTTTTTCGTTTTATGGTTTTTGTTCCTTTTTCTATTCTTTTTTGGTTTTTGTTTTGCTTTTTGTCTTTTTGCTCGTGTTTTTGTCCCCCTAGTTGCCCCCCTTTACTCGGTTAGCTAAGCCTCGTTCGGAGAGCGTACCAGGAAGTTTTCTCGAGTTTTCTTAAAAAGCTATCACGGTACAACCGGAAGGTTTGCACGTTCCTGTCGAACCGTACCACCGGTACTCTAGAATGGGCATGTAGCCCGAAGCTGTCTCAAGTGGGTTCGACTCCGTAGTCATGGTGTCGTAAACACCCATGAGCGCCATAAAAAAACACTATGTAACATTCGTCTACTGTAGTCACACATGAGGCTTAAGAAAAATAGGCCCTATAACCATTGGCTCAAGAGTCAGGGACACTATCTCTTGTGTTTTTCTACCTCAAATCAGTCGGAGCCAATTCGGTTCGCTTGTGACATGAGACTACGACCCGTTACAGCTTAAAGGCCACTACCAAAATATCCCCCCACTCTAGAAATAATAACGTCCCCATACTTAGGTCTCTAGATACCCAAAATACACGAACGCCGTTAAAAACCGGGTCGGAACAATCCGTTAAGTTACTTTTTATTAGACAGTGGAACTTTGATCCATTTCAGATGGATCAACCTAAAACTCGCCTCACCTCAACATAACAATCATAAAACACACTCTAGAAATTTAAATTAAGGACTCACATGTTGATGCGCTCAAGCACAGGAGGTAATTAAATGGGTGAGCAACTCTAGAATTAACTAATATAACTAGATAAGTCCAATGTTTGTCAGTTTAAATGGCAGAGTTAAGTTTGAACTCTAGAATGAAGTTTTATGTGAACCATTGGGACACTCCAGCTGTCCACCTTTCAGTCGAAGGTTCACTCTAGTCCAGTTCGAATAATTGTTCTCTCGGGAATACTCTGTCTTCTATTTCAGATAGGACAGCTCTACTCTTGTTCACTATGATGGAAATTGCGAATAGCAATTTCCCACTTGTTTTTTATCTGACAACTTTCCCGCGATTGTTATTCGATCGTTCTGAATTCTCTTTTTCGGTTTTTCAGTTATCGCGAGAAAATCGTGCATGACAGGCTCCATTCGAATTTTTGAAAAATTCAATTTCACCCCAAAATTGAGTGCTCTTGCTTTTCTCAAGGTCAAACTTCCAAATATTACCGACTGGCACAGTGTCTCCGCTTTTTACAAATTATAACCGCCAACCTCTAACTTAACCAGCAACCAGCCCCCCTTCTAACCTCCCCCCCCCTTTTAGCCCCCTTCTTAAGCCTAAAATTACCTTAAGCGCCGGGTGCTAAACCTCTCAAGAGAAAACCGTAGACCTGTCTCCAGGCCTGCTCAAGTAAAAACGTTCCTCAAAACCGGGGGATTTCGCTTATCCAATTTTGCACTTATCTCCTATAATGTAATGTGGATTTTAACGATACCCGTTCTGCCCAACTTGAGAATTCGAGAATTGCCAAATCCTCCTTGGCTACTTTCCCACTCGACTGGTCACCTCTTCCAGTCCAGTCTCCTATTGGTTCAGCTCAAGTGCTCCTGAACCACTTTTCCACTCGGCTGGTCACCTCTTCCAGTCAAGTCTCCTTGTTGTCCAGCTAAGTTCCAAGCTATCTGAAAACCCTTGACAACGCCCCACACTCGGGCACTTTATTGAGGTTACTGGGTTAAATTGCTAGGTTGATCGAAACGATCGAACTTGTAAAACAGTATGGGTATACTATTTAATTAATATAAAGGTTTGATCCAACTAATCTGGTGTCAAAGTCACTGTCTTTTTTCGTTTTATTGTTTTTGTTCCTTTTTTTATTCTTTTCTGGTTTTTGTTTCGCTTTTTGTCTTTTTGCTCGTGTTTTTGTCCCCCTAGTTGCCCCCCTTTACTCGGTTAGCTAAGCCTCGTTCGGAGAGCGTGCCAGGAAGTTTTCTCGAGTTTTCTTAAAAAACTATCACGGTACAACCGGAAGGTTCGCACGTTCCTGCCGAACCGTACCATCGGTACTCTAGAATGGGCATGCAGCCCGAAGCTGTCTCAAGTGGGTTCGACTCCGTAGTCTTGATGTCGTAAACACCCAGGAGCGCCATAAAAACACTGTGTAACATTCGTCTACTGTAGTCACACATGAGGCTTAAGAAAAATAGGCCCTATAACTATTGGCTCAAGAGTCAGGGACACTATCTCTTGTGTTTTTCTACCTCAAATCAGTCGGAGCCAATTCGGTTCGCTTGTGACATGAGACTACGACCCGTTACAGCTTAAAGGCTACTACCAAAATATCCCCCTACTCTAGAAATAAGAACGTCCCCATACTTAGGTGTCTAGATACCCAAAATACTTGAACGCCGTTAAAAACCGGGTCAGAACAATCCGTTAAGTTACTTTTTATCAGACAGAGGAATTTTGATCCATTTCAGATGGATCAACCTAAAACTCGCCTTACCTCAACATAACAATCATAAAACACACTCTAGAAATTTAAATTGAGTACTCACATCGTAGCACGCTCAAGAACTGGGAGTAATTAAGTCGGTAATCAACTCGAGAATTAAATAATGTAACGAAATGAGTTTAATGTTTATCAGTTTCAATAACAGGACCAAGTTTGAACTCTAGAGTATGTCTTCTCGTGAACCATTGGTACACTCAATCTGTCCACCTTTCCATCGAAGGTTCACTCTATTCCAGTTTGAATAATAATCCAGTCGAGCAATAATGGTCCAGTTCTCGGGAATACGCTTCCTTCTGTTTCAGATAGGACAGCTCTACTCTAGTTTTATTGTGACGGAAATTGCGAATGGCAATTTCCTACTGCTTTATCTGGCAACTTTTCCCGCGATTGTAACTCGATCGTTCTGATTTCTCTTTTTCGGTTTTCAGTTATCGCGAGAAAATCGTGCATGACAGGCTCCATTCGAGTTTTTGAAAAATCAAATTTCACTCCAAAATTAAGCGTTCTTGTTTTTCTCAAGGTCAAACTTCCAAATATGACCGACTGGCACACCACGAGGGTCGGTAAACACCGCAGGGGGACTCCCCGGTAGTGTAACACTTGTTAGAATGTAATAAGGAGGTAGGTGGTTCTGCTAAGCTGAAGTCAGAGATTATAGATCATACAGCCAACACTCAGAAGATACTCACACTAGGGGCCTTGCAAATTTGGATGGAGAGGCGGAGATTCAACACACGCGATGAATTCAGGAGCAGGGAATTAATACTCAAATTATAGTCCATGTATAAAATGGCTAAAATTCAAAAAACTGAAATATCAGAATTGGGAAATATTACCAAATCGAAACTTTAAAACAATGAAAGAACAAAAACTAAAAATCTCAGAAATTTACAGGAAAATGTTATTCACCTTGTTAAATACCTTGTGGGCCATGCATCACATCGTCTTGAAAGAAACGCAAATAAATGATTAATTTGGCTTGCCCAGAAGCGGCATAAGCCATTATACCGGAAGAATTGAAGGGTTGCACTTGTTGCAACTCCTTTTTGAAATCGCAAAGCGTCTCTGCATTTATAACCCAATCTGGGAGAGAGTTCCAGCAATTGATAATGCGTCGAGAAAATGAGTGTGCTGTTCTAGTCAGGTGGAACTTTGATTTCGTAAGCTTAAATTTGTGACCTCTCAGATTCGTATTCCAGTTTTCAACGAAGAATATCCCAGGATCAATGTCTACCTTTCCGGTCAAGATTTTGTAAACCAAAATAAGATCATTTCGTAAAAATCGCGTCTCCATAGTTGTTAAAGAAAGTTTACGCAGTCGCTCCGCATAAGAAAATTTTTTGAAACCAGAATTCATTTTAGTAAATCGGCACTGTACTTTCTCAGTAATAGTAATGTCCTTTTCTCAGTTACGGTCTCCAAGCTGGTCCACAATACTCAAGCAAATGTCTAACTAGGGTCTTGTACAAGGGCAGTAGAATATCCTTCTTATACTCCAAGGTTCGCCTGATCATTCCTAGAAATGAGTTAGCCTTGTTTGCAGCCTTACAACACTGATCCTTTTGCTTTCCTGAACAACTGACGGTAATAACAGAAATGTTATTAATGGTTACGTAATTTATGTAGTTACAGTTGTTTAAATTTGATTGGTCAAAAAATGTTGAGCATATTTTGACATGATTCTCAATTTTTCAGATCTTTGATCGTTTTGTAAATTTTGTAAAGAAACTTTTAATCCTGATGATGCACAAAATGTGCGAAAACGTTTGAATTAATATTTTAAAATTCTTATTACTTCCTCCATGTTATGCGTTAGTTTTCCCCTAATTCATGAAATTCCATTGGTTTTTCGACCGGGTGACATGATGAAGGACTAGTGTAGTAACTTGGGTTAACAACAATTTCTGACCATCTGATTTACCAATAAATATTTTATGCAATTGTATTTTTTAGGATTAGGTTGCTGCAGATAAATGATCTAATAGAATAACTTCGATCAATGTGCTGCTAATCCGAATATGAGATATGACAATAGATTTATCTTGTACCTCCTGTGCGATGATAATCTTTACTTGTAAACCCGAGTGACTAATCAGAAGAAACCGAAAGTATGCCGACAAAATCAAAAAAGGAGAAAAGCGCCAAAGAGGCTACCAATGGTACCAGTGAAACGGATGTGGGTTCGATTCAAGAGAGGGAGTTTGTCAAGCTTCCGCTTCTAACAGAAACCAATGGTGCAGATGAACGCGAGAAATTAGTTGTAGAGAAATTGCGTCTCTGTAGCGTTCTTTTTGATTTCAGCGCTAATCCTTTAAGTGAGTTGAAACACAAAGAAGCTAAAAGAGCGACGCTAAACGAACTTGTTCAGTACTTCTCACAAAACAGGAATGTTCTCACTGAAACTATTTACGCCGAAGCTGTTCGAATGTTCAGCTGTAATCTCTTCCGAACACTTCCTCCTCCGAGTAACCCAAGCGGAGCCGAATTTGACCCGGAAGAAGATGAGCCGAGTCTAGAGGCAGCGTGGCCCCATTTGCAGATTGTTTATGAACTGTTGCTTCGCTTCATAGAAAGCCCAGATTTTTCAGCTAATGCGGCTAAGAAACATATTGATCAACAGTTTGTATCGCAACTTCTGGAGCTATTCGACAGCGAGGATCCCAGAGAAAGAGATCTGTTAAAGACAACATTGCACAGAATCTATGGAAAGATGCTGGGTCTCCGTGCTTTTATACGAAAGCAGATTAATCACACGTTTTACAGATTCATCTATGAAACAGAGCGCCACAATGGCGTAGCGGAGCTATTAGAAATTCTGGGCAGCATAATCAACGGTTTCTTCATGCCTCTAAAAGAGGAACACAAAGTATTTCTGCTTAAGGTGCTGCTGCCCCTGCACAAAGCTAAGAGTCTTTCGGTTTATCATCCCCAGCTAGCTTATTGCATTGTACAGTTTCTGGAAAAAGACAGTAGTCTTACGCAGCCCGTGGTTGCTGCTTTGTTAAAGTTTTGGCCGAAAACTCACTCACCGAAAGAGGTTAGTGTGACTCGTCAAAGAAAATGAAATGCAGTTTATACCAAATAGTTGGCAATATAACTTAATACTGCTCTTTAGGTGGCATGAATCATTTTTTAAACTTGTTTCACTCAAAATTACGCAAAAGATACGCTGCAAACTATATCAAAATGGACCTATTTTTTGTGTCCAACAAATTTTATGAAGGGTAGAAACCCAAAAATTACGCAAAAAGTGTCAAAATTTTTATTAAATAAAAAAAGTTAGAATTTTAGAGTGTAAATATGATATGTTTTGGCTATCACGCAGAAATTGTTTAATTATACAAAATTTCGGAGATCATACTTCTCTTTATTTTTGCTGGGCTACAAAAAAGGTTGACTGTGATATTGTTTGCTTAACAATTTACACGGTATTTTGAACAGTTTTATTGTTTTAATCTTAAAATTGCACCGCAAAATATATTGCACCATACTAATTCTGGCGAAATTCTCAGCAAATTTTGTTCGCATTGCTTTTTATACCTTTGCGATAAGCAAGGGTATTGCAATCGGGCACTAGATTTGTTTTCCCGTAAATAACTTTAATCAAAGTGCTCATCTCCTGGATTCCTTCATCTACTAGGCCTTTCTCCTTTCTGTTACAACAGACTTGTTTTGAGCATTTGTTTTTTATGTTAGTTGTAATTTTACCAACTCGCTTCGCTAGTGGTTTTTTTTGCGTCATTTGATGACTGAAAAAAGATTTTTGCGTCATTTGATGACTGAGTGTGTATGAGTTCTTAGGGAAGAGGGCTTAAAAAGGACTTTTTCCAGTTAAAATTTTCCTGAATTTTTTCGACTTAGTTTTTTTTCGGGTTTCTGCTGTTTTTTTGGCTTTGTTACCGCTTGGTAGCCGCACTAGATATGATGGCTCAGACTTATAGTTCAATTTCAGCCGGTTTTTTTACAAACTTGTTTTGTTCGTGCTGTCTCGGATTATCGTCCGTCTGTTTTTTGCCCGGCTAGTTATTAGTTTTCGTAGCTCGACTTTTTTGAAGGTTCAGCTGTCTTTAGGATACTCCTACAACCATGCTTGAGACGACTAAGCTCGAGAATTCTAATGGTGCATGTAATTTTGTTCCGTATTTTTGGGCTTTTGTTGCAATCTATATATTTTTTAATGGAGTGAGACATTGCCAGCCCTATTTAAGAAATACCTATGTTGACATTTTTAAGAACTTTACGTTTTATCTTCATGGTTCAGCTATGTTCGATATTTAAATAGCTATGCTCTGCGAATATAATGAAACGCTACTACTAGCCTGCGGGTTTTTATTAAGCATCGGTTTTGTGCCTAATCACATTGTGTTTAGTTAAGCATGCGTGTCTGAACTAAATGATGCTTTGCAAAAAACGTTAATGCGAAATATTTTGAGCATTTTTTTTGATGCTTGGTAATAATCTTTGCAGCTTTTCTTGATGTCGGGATTTAGTTTTTCTTTTGGAAGCTGAACCCCCTCCTCAACTTTTGCACTTGTTACTCTGCATGGGCTCAGTTTGTTGTCCGCTGTCTGAAAAGCCTCTATGCTGCTCTGTGACTGGTATGTATGCAGGTAATAGACAGTTAGTAGAATCAATAACCGTGAAGTGAACAAGTACAAGAAAGGTAAATGAACCGACTACGAGGGCCTATGACTAGCGAGTTTTTTTCGATAGAGTTTTATTCGGATCAAGTTTAATTCGATAGAAGAATGTTGGCAGGAAATAATTGATTTTACCAGTTGGAAGACTTCTGCTAAAAGCGTTGAAATTAATATTGTAAACGCGATGTATTGTTTTCAGTTTTAATTTCAACTAATTTTTTCCCAAAAATAAAAATTCATTTTTAAATGAGTTTTTCCTTTGTCCCACGATTAAGGCACATTTACATGATTCTTAAAAACACGCTCTCTTCATGTCGAAGCCTTTCGCAACTTCACATTTTTTTTAACAAAATTTTTTTTTTGATAGTTTTTTAAAAACAACTCTTACTGTTTTTGTTTCCAAGAGGTTTTTTATTTAAAAAAAATCACTGTAAAAAACGTTTTCTCCAAGTTTCGTTTTGTTTTTTTTTCCTTAAAAAGTTTCTTCAATTGATTTTAAAAAAAAACAGTGCAGCAGTTCTATATATTTTTCTTAAAAAGAAACTTTGCTGATTTCGATTTACTTCTTTTAAAAAACTGTTCCAAAATTCCACGTTAAAATATGTCATTCAAAATAGTTCCGTGTTGTCTTTTTTAAGAGCTTTGCATTGTTTCGTTTTTTTTTGTATTTTAGAAAAAAACTTGGCAGTGATACTTGTTTTTTTGTTTTTATTTTTTTGCAGTGATTTTGTCTTCTTGAATTCAAGCTTTTTCTGAATGCAACTAACAGTTGTAGGTTTTTCTTTGCGGGATAATTAACCTCAGATTTCTACATTTTCAAGAAACTGCGCCTTTTTGATTTTTTGGATTTTAAAAAAAAAATCCAAATTTCAATTAAGTTTTAACTGATACGATTCTCCTTATTATTCTCTGTACTGCTGATTGGGCTTATCGTTTTAATCATTATTTAAATTTCACCACCTTTCCTGTTTTTCGCGGAGTTCTGTTTTTTTTTTAATATAAAATGTTCTGAAAGGTATCAAATTCTGAAAGGTGCCTCGTAATCAGAAGCTTTCTCTAGCAATTTGTTTTTCTTTTGCTGTCAATATTTTCTGTTTTTTTTCCCACAAAAGCTTTGCAGTGAATTGTTCTTTTTTGTATCCTTTTACAATCTTTGCAATGGTTTGTTTCCTTTTTATTTTTTTTTTCGAAAAAGTTTCGCACTACTTTTTCTGTGAAAATCTTCGCAACCATTAAATCTTAATTTTTAATACTGAAACTTTTCAATGACTTGTTACTTTCTATTAATCAACAAACAGTTTTTCCGGTGGTATATCTTTTTAAGACGTAGTTTTGAAAGAATATTCCACTGATTTTTCTTTTATTCTTTTGGCTTTGCAATGAGTTATTCTTGTGTATGTTTTTCACAATATAATGTTTGCAGTCGTTTCTACCTTTTCTTTTCATTTTCTCCAGAACGTCAATATGGCGTTTTTTGTTTCTAATTTCCATCTTTGATTTAAGTGTCCGTTGATAACTTTGTCAATATGATCTTCTCTTTTGGTGAATCGGCTTGATTTATAAATCATTGTATTATTTAGAAAAACACACCCGGTACTCCATGCAGAAGAAAAAATACTCTGATTTTCAAAAAACTTTCTAAAGTAATAATTTGTTTTAACTGTTATCTAGTTTTGTTTAATCCGCTAAGTCTTCTTTATAGCTTCAATAATTGACAACCGATACTTACTTCGTTTTGGAGAAAAATCTTGTTTTTGTTTTCGAAAAAAGTTTTAATACTTTGTTAAACTAGGGTTGATTGATCATAGGGATCACTGGTCACTCATTGCGTATTATAAATTGAGCTTATAAAAACAACAACTGTGGCTCTTATATCTTATGATCTTTTTATGGATTAACAATTGTAGAAAATGTGAGTTTCGAAACCTGGTTGATTGTCTATTCTTATCTTTATCTGTATTGCTGAATCAGCTTTATCTCTTGTTCATTATTTCGACCTATACTGGAGTTATATTGGTTTTTGTTTTTCTGAAAATATAAATAATACTTAATCGCGTGTTTAATAATGATCTTATTCTCATGTTGCTCTGTATTATGTGTAAGCATAGTGTCTGCGTCAATATTTAAACTTGATTTTTTTAAAAGCCTGTCCTACTCAAAAGTTGGATTGGGAAGATCAAAATGTAACTTTTCGGCAAAAAATTTACTGATGCATTTTACAGCATTTTTTCAATCGTTTTTTCTAAAAATAAAACTTCGTTTTACTACTGCTACAAAATGTCATCACTATTTTGCGTTCTGCAAAGCTTTTCCGCCTTGAGCTTCTTTGTAGAGCTTCTTTCGATCGTAAAGCAGTTTCGATTCAAATCTTTATCACCGATTAAATAGATTTCAAATGTTTGTGTTGCTTAAAGTTTAATGACATGGGATAATAATTTAGAAAGCAGAAAGTTATGCACTGGATCGTTAGTTTTATAAAAAAAAATCACAGAAACAATTTTGTGAAGGTTTTGAATTTTTTCAACTTTTATCTGATTTTAATAACTATCGTTCGTTTTTGCATCGCAAGTGGCGCGAAGCTCAGCTTCGCATCTGTGTCTAATTTCAACCTAAATATAGAAAAACGCCTGTGAAGTTTCCAATTTTGTGCGTTTTATCCGGTTAATTCAAATCGGCGCTGTATATTTGGTCCAAATTATGCGTTACCAGATGCATTTTGTTTAAATTTTAAAGATCGAAAGAGTCAGATTTATTTTTTTTTCATGTAATTTGTTGAGCAAAATTAGTTAACAGGCAGTTGGGACGACATTCAGGGCTTGGCCCTGTTACCAGTAAGGTTTGTTTGTTGTAGGTGATGTTTCTGAATGAACTGGAAGAGATGTTGGACATAGTGGATGCTACTGAGTTCCAGAAAGTAATGACTGCAGTGGGACGCCAGCTGGCGAGGTGTGTGTGCAGTGCGCACTTCCAAGTTGCCGAGAGGGCTCTCTACTTCTTCAACAACGAGTACATCATGCATTTGGTGCAGGACAATGCACAGACACTCATGCCTATCCTCTTCCCACCTCTCTACGCACACTCCAAAACACATTGGAACAAGTCAGTATTATCCACTCATATTCTAGCCAAGTGTTAGAAAAAGGTTGTACAAGGTTTGTCAACGCTTTAATCTAAAATGAAATAAAGTTAGCGTTCGAGGAAAAATTCTCAGTCTAGTTATTTCGGAGGTTTCGAACAATTTTTGTTCTGCTATGAAGTAAACTTTTTGTTAGAAGCATAACAAGCGAAATGACATCTTAAAATCTCAATTTCAATATTGAAAGTAAGTTGTCTTTGATTCATCGCCAGCAGCGCTGACTGGCTCTCACTTGTCCCCTGAAAACACAAGATCTTTCTATGTTCTCTACTGACATCCGGATCTCCCTCTGCTATCGGTTAAATATCCTGTTGAGTAAATTGTTTTTTTCCAAACATTAGTTTCATTGATTCAAGCCTTTTTTAAACTACATATCAAAGTCGGTCATCAATGTGTAAGTTTACGAACTCAGATTTCGTTTAATTAACTTACCATTTTTTTTTTGCTTAAATGATTTCAGCGTATGCTAAATTGACTTAGTTGCCTCATTTTGCGTCTCTTGAAGGGCAAAAATAGACTAATGTGTAATTCAGGAGGAATGGGGAGTAAAACGTTTTCGGCTCAACTGGTGTGTTTACCCACGTGATATTGACTCAGCTGCTACTTTTTGTCGATGCAGTATTTTGCGATTTTTTTTTAAATATAGATTTCGAATTGTGGCTTCCGTCTTATTTTTTGGCTGCTTGCCTACAAATGCTATGTTTTTGTGGAATCGCAATTTGCGCGAAGCTAAGCTTTTCATCTGTTTAGAGATTTTGAGTATGGATATTTTTGAGTTTAAGTTTACCACACTTAAATACGATATCTTTATTGAGTTTTTTCTGTCCATGTCTCCCAGCTTCCTTAAGGTATCAAGCCTAATTCTTTTGTACGTACATTAACTGCCACCATTAGATTGCATTCAAATAGCCATTACTTATCAGATTTTTATAACCAGATTGGAGGTTATGATATCAAAAAATAATTTTGCTCGCGAAAACAAGAAAGGCCCAATTGGTCACCAGAATGTTACTGCTGAAAATTTTAATTTAGAATCATGAAACTCAAAGAATTTAAAAAAGTTAATTAGTTATTTCAATCCTTTGAAAAATGTATGAAATTGATTTCTCCGGCATGTTTTACAATATCGGTAATCATCTAGTATTTATTCAATTTACTATTATTTCTAATACACTTATGTAAAACACAATCATGGTCAAGGTGCGCTAAGAGAACATAAAGCGCCCACTTGTAGCCTAATCTTGAACTCAATTTGATTCAACGAATTTAATTCGCTCAATAAACGATAATACATAAAATTGCCTTTATTTTTCCCAACTAACAAAAGCACCAATTTTATGGTATAACGATTGGTTTCGTAAGCTTAACTACTAAACAAATATCTTTAGAAATACGTATTTGTCCTTATGTCAAATTAAAAACAATTGGAATTTGCGAACAAAAGTTTTTGTAATAAAAATCTGCAGCCTCGAATAGTAAAAAAAAATTCCTTTTAAATCTTTTCGATTTGGAAAATCATCATCCGCCATTAAATACTACTCACAAAGTCACGTTAATAAAAGATTAGGAACCGCAAGCTGTGACACATAATATTTATGATGCTTAGCAAGCTAGAAAACAGTGGGCTGGCTCCTGATTTCCTCCTTGGTGTCATTCGCTAAATAAAGAGCATTTCAAGAGCCATAAGCTTACTGAGGTGATGATATGAGGTGTCGATCAAGTCTTCCATGATGGCGTTCTGAGCGGTCCCTCTTTTCTCCAAGTGGAAGACAACGGGGCATCCTTCCGACTGTGTTCCTTCATTTTCACAGAATTTTATCGGGTGCTGAGGAAAAATCATAAAAAAACTGATTTGGATAAATTTCAGAAAACCTTCAAAAGTGGCGACCTAAAAACAAGACAGCGACCCGAATGAAGCTATTCGTTGACCCTGAATGAACAAATAAAAAGGATATATTTTTTCTTTTTTCATTAGATTGAAGATTACACAAATTGGGAAATCTCGGAAACTAAATCGCAAATAAAAGTGCTACTTTAAGTGGCATTTTAGACGGCTTCTTTATGAGTGCTAATTCATATGGCATTTTTTGAATCAAGAGGCTGAATCGGTGTTTAATACCATAATGGCGTTGTAATGAGTTAACACAGTTGATAATTTTTTAATGCATCTGTTGAAGCGAAGAAACTTAGTTGTTTCATACGACTGTACATAAATAAAAACGCTTTTTCAGAAACTTTCCAGCGCATTATATCTTGCGAATTTTTTGAAACACATAATTTATACAAAAATTGTCTTGATACTTTCCAATTTATTGAATGAAAAGTCAGTGTGGTTGACTTAACTTAAAGTTTATTACATTCCAAATTATTACATGCAAATTTGAGTTTTTGTATTAAAAGCTCCCGAGTCTTTTGCCGCTTTCTCGCTTGTGATAAGCTAACGTGTTGCAACCGGTGCCAGACTTATTTTTCCGGTAAATAATTTTGCTCACAGGGTGACTGAAATTTGATTCATTTTAATTTTAAGGGGTTATAGTTTTTCTGCATCTATCTAAATAGCTTTTCTATTGCATTGGGTTTGCATCTGGAGCCGAAAATGCAAAATTATTTTTGCATCTGGAGCCGAAATTGTTTTTTTTGTCGGGCGTTTGGATTTCGATCGAGTTTTTGTCAGGTCTCTTGTCGTGTTTTCAAGAGTCATGAGCGTATTGAATATTCTTATATAGGTATTGGTGATTTTTATGTTAATTTTTGTACAGGAAAAAGTCTTAGTTTGGTCAGACTCAAAACGAATTTGATTTTTCGCGGTTTGACTTATGATTTCTTCTTAAGTTCAGTTTCTCTTTAAAGTTCAGTTGAGAAGATGACAAACTCTACTATCTAACAGCAAAAGTGTAAAGTTCATGAAAAATGTGATTGAATTTTTGTTTGAAAGTGGCTTTTGAATCGCAGATATTTCAGCGGAAAAAATTACTTATCGGTTCAGTTTTCTCATATGGGGTCAGTTCTAACTTTGTCTGCTGTTAGATTTTATGCAACAAAAGTTTCCGTTAGGAATGAAAATTTGAGTTTCTTGTTTTTTTTGGCTGCATGACTTCTATTTGTCCTTTAAAATTAAGTTTTGGCAGCATAGCATCTCAATTTTTGTTAGAGCTGAGCATACTTGTTTTGAATTTTTTCAAAGTGATGACACCTCGCATTTCATCATCAATCGAATCAAGGTCATTGCATATTGAGGTTGTAGAAATTGGCAAAAATGTTTCAAAAGATGCTTTTGTTTCTTAAGTAATTTTCTAAAGGAATTTAGAAATGAGTTTTTTTCCTTTGAAAGATTTTGAGTTTTGCTTGGGTTTCAAGAGTATGGTTGTCTGCGTTATGTATGGTTGTCTGCGTTATCAAATTGTTACAGACTTGTTCAAATTTACAATTTATTCGAGAGTGAATCAATAGGTTTCCTGGTTTGTATCAAATTGAAATCAAGTGTCTGTTTTTGTCTAATAATTTTGAAGGTTGCACCTATGCTGGGGTAGACAAAGGCCTGGAGTTGTACAATACATAATTTTTTGCGCACTGTAAATTTTCTGCTTTTTAAATCTGAGTTTCAGACTACATGTGTCTGCTCGTCTTGTCGGATTATATCTCGCAGCACGCTTTTTTTGCAGTTTCAGCTTGTTTAGCTTTGTTTAAATACCATATCTATTTTTTATACGGATACAGGTAACCGAGTTCAAAAATTTTATTTTGCTCAATAAAAGATAATACTATTCCTAGCTAACAAAAACATTAACCTTATGGTTTAACTAATGGTTTCGTAAGCTTAACTACGCAGACAAATCAAATGTCTTTAGAAATACGTATTTGTCCAAATGTCGAATTTAATAACAATTGGAATTTGCGAACAAAACTTTTTGTGATGAAATTCTGCAGCCTCAAGTAGTGAAAAGAATTCCTCTAAATCTTTTCGAATAGGAAAATCATCCTCGGCTATTAAATGCTACTCACGAAAGTGATGTTAATAAAAGGTTAGGAACCGCCAGCTGTGACACATGGTATTTATGATGCTTCGCAAGAAAAAAGTGGGCTGTCTCTTCTGATTTCCTCCTTGCTGGCTAAATAAAGAGCATTTCAAGAGCCATAAGATTACTGAGGTGATGATCTGAGGTGTCGATCAAGTCTTCCTTCCATCGTGGCATTCTGAGCGCTTCCTCGCTTCTCCTAGTGTAAGACAATGGGACATCCTTCCGACTGTGTTCCTTCATTTTCACAGAGAATTGTCGGGTGCTGAGGAAAAATCAATGAAAAAAACTGATTTGGATAAATTTCAGAAAACCTTCGAAAAAGGCGACCTGAAAGCAATACAGCGACCTAAATGAAGCTTTTCATTGAACCTGAATGTAAGACTAAAAATAGGATTTTTTTCATTAGGTTGAAGATTACACGAATTGAGAAATTTCGGAAGCAAATAAATCGTCTTTTTAGGGGCATTTTAGAGTGCTTCTTTATAAGTGCTACCTTACATGGCATTTTTGAATCAAAAGGCTATATTTGTGTTCAAATACTATCTTGGCGTTGTAATGAGTTATCACAGTTGATGCTTTTTAAATTCATCTATTGAAGCGAAAAAACTTAGTTTTTTCATACGACTATACATAAAAAAACGCTTTTTCAGAAGCTTTCCAGCACATGTAATGCGAAATTTTTGAAACACATAATTTATACAAAATTGGCTTGGTGCTTTCCTTTGTATTGAATGCAAAGTCAGGGTTTTTGACTCAAAGCTTATTACATTTCAAATTTTTACACGCAAAATTTGAGTTTTTGTATTAAAAGCTTCCGAGACTTTTGCCGCTTTCTAGCTGTTGAAAAGCTAACGTATTACAACCGGTGACCGACTCGTTTTTCCGATAAATAGTTTTGATCACAGGGTGACTGAAATTCGGTTCATTTTCATTCCAAAAATGAC